TGGAAATTGGATTTGTCAGTTTCTCTTCCTGTAGTTACATTTTTTTTCTGCATCAGGGCTGACTTGAAATGTGTGAGGTTTATTATTTGTTTTGTGATTATTATAGGCAGTTGATTGGTGGAGTTTAGGAGTACTCATGTACGAGCTTCTCACTGGAGCATCACCCTTCACTGTTGATGGAGAGAAAAATAGTCAATCTGAAATTTCCAAGTTAGTAATGACAGCATGTCTATATTTCCTGGATCGACAAGGTTTATAAGCCCAGTATGTTACCCTTGTATTAAATAAAAATGTTCAAACACCAGACACTACTACTCCCATAATACCCCTGTCCTTCCATGTGTTTAAATGGTCTCTTATAAGAGGTGACGCTATGAGGACTGATGATGATGATGATAAATTATTGAGAAACAAGGGGAGTAGGCGCCATTTGTCCTGTTTGCTAGGTGATATGGAATTAGGTGGCTCAGGCGCAGACTAAACCTTTTGATGTTCATATCTTTGGTAGACGAATTCTCTACAACAGTCCACCAATGCCCCCTGATATCTCAAGAGAAGTAACAGACTTGCTTCTCAAGCTATTACAGAAAGACCCAAAATTGCGACTTGGAGCTAAGGGTGCTCACGAGATTCAAGCCCATCCTTTCTTCAAGGTACACGTAAGTTGAAATTCACTCATATGGTACTCTTGCTACTACTTCTAGCTCAAAAACCAGTGAGAGCAAATTATCCTATTTCACTGCTTTAATTTTAGTCAAGATCTGTCATTGACAACAGATAATCTGTTCTATAGCTGATCAGTGTCTTTCGATTAACAGGGCCTTAACTGGAATCTCCTGGCTCAAAAGAAGATCGCAGCACCCTTTAAGCCTCGAATAGGGGATGAATTGGATGTCAGTAATTTTGCTGAAGAGTTCACAGACATGGTACCAACATATTCACCAGCTGCTGTTCCAAAGACAGCAGACAGAATTTTCAAGGTCAGTCATTGAATCTTAATGTTGAAAATTTTGGTCAAATGTTTCCCTCTGATTGGCTGGGTGGTCATCATTTTGTGTGAGGCTATAAGTAACACATTATCAATGATGATCATTTGGGGTTTTTTCCTATTTTGTGCTGAAAAAAAAAACAAAAGAAAAAGAAAACAAAAGAAAATAGCCAATTTTTGTGTACTTAATGTGATGCAAGCACTTGAGAAAGTTTACTCTGACAATTTGGATCAAAGTTCTGACTGAAAGTGATCTCAATTTTGAAGTCTTCATTACAATTTGCAGGGATATTCATTTGTAGCTCCATCAATCATATTTGGAGAAAATGAGTTTACAAAGCGTTTGGTTGCCAATAAACCAAATGAGCACAGACCAGCCCCTGGTGCTGTAGATTATGCAGCATTATTTGAGGTAAATGTATTTCTTTGTCTGTTTGAACTCTAAAGTTTAGTTGAAATAATTGCGCTTGTATGTTCCTTGCAGATGTTGCGATGTTGAACAAACTAGAATGAAAGTTGACATATTATATTTTACACTCTGTTCACCAAATTTTGCTTACAGTCTTGGCTGTTGTGTAATTTTTCAGGATTCACCTTTCTTTCAAAACTATGCTATAAGTGATGAAGTTCTTGGTGATGGAAGTTTCTCAACTTGTAGGTAAGTGTAAGGGGGCCATTTTTTTCCAAACGGGGTCCTGTAGAATGAACAATTCCTTAGCTGGAGACAGAAGTGACAAGTTTTGTGTTGAATACATAACTTAACTTCATCTATCCTAAATGTCTGTCAGAGTTGGATCTACAGAAGAAAAATCCAAAGGCAATAAAGGTTAAAAATGATTGCTCTCAGGGGCACTTACAGCGAGGCAAATATTGAGATAATTTATTTCCCTGAATAAGCTTTAGAATTTCCATCTCAAGTGACTTAAGCAAAGGATCAACCTACCTCCTGTGTATAATATGTTCTTAGGTTTCATCATGTGTCACTCCTCCATAAATAAATATTGCGTGACGAGCTCAATGGACAACTACATAAGGAACAGGTCATTAGTTTTTGAAGGGGGCAGGGGGTGGTTGGGCAATTTTCCCCAAAAAAATTCCTTCGTAGCAAAAACTGCTGAAAAGAAATCTTGCAATGGGAGCTATGATCCAAGTCCTGTGTTTGACTTCAAAAAAATTATGGCACAACTTAAAGGTGAGAAAAAAATTTCATTTCCCAGAAAATTGCCCAGCCCCTCGTCTCAAAGAAATAATGTTCTGTGTCTAATCTGGGAGGCTGATCACTTAGCTTGACCTGTCTTTATATTCCCCAGAAACAGCTGAAAGTTGAATATTATAAGTTTCTAACGTACTGTAGTGAGTCAGAGCTTTTGTTGGAGAGTACTGTGACCTGTGACATGGAATTTTTGTTGCACCGAATATTATTAGTTGGTTGGTTTGGAGTTTAGTAGCAGTAAATGCGTAATTTACTTAGAAGAGTGTTCTTGATGAGTTGTGCTTTCTGTTTTAAGGAAATGTGTTCACATACGAACTGGAGTACCTTTCGCTGTGAAAGTTATAAGTAGAAGGTAAATGAATCGAATTTTTATCACAAATCAACCCAGTTTGAAAGGTTTTTCAGTCTACTTTTGTAAAAATGTTGTCTACAACTAAAGGCCATCAAAAGGCTCCTTGATGATGATAATCTCCTTTATAATTAATTTGTAATTATTCTAATTTTTTATTTTTCTTTTACTTATCTATAGATAATAGAGTTATTTTATTTCTTTTTCCTTTCAGACGTGACCACATAAGAGAGGAACAGTCATTAAGAATATGTCAAGGTCATCCCAACATAGTCAGACTACAGGAAGTGTTTCAGGATGATGTGAGTGCACTGATAATTTGTTTCAATTCCTTAACCTTTAACCTCCTACAAGAGTTTGAAATTGATAAAAAACAAATTTAGTCAATATTGCACCCATTCAAATGAAAGCTGTGATTATTTTGCTTTAGTTTTGACTTCAAATGAATTTGCCACAAATGTACTGGGTATACATGGTGTGCAAAAACAGTAATTTTTTCTTTTTTTCCCCTTTTTTTATTGGGCACAAATAATAAAATTATTGTTGTTGTTGTCATCAGGGGGAGAAGAATACTACTAGTGCACTTAATGCTACAGAAACCAAGGATAAGCTCTGGGTCTAGGTCACTAAGAGGACTTTCATGTTGTTTATTATGAGCCAAGTGGCCCACCAGGTTGGCACTTACATATATCTCTGGTTTCTGTAGCATGGGTAGTGACTAGGAGTATTTCTACTCCCTCCTGGATTGGATGCTGATCTATTGCAGGGTTAACCCCCAGCATTAAATTTACTGGTACCCATTTATATACCTGGGTGGAGAGAGGGACTGTGAGAGTAAAGTGTCTAATCACAATGTTCCCGGCCAGGGTTCAAACCCAGACTGCTTGATCCAGTGATCTAACCATGAGGCCACCCACTTCTCCCTTGGAGGTAAAAGAGGCAAAGTTATTATTTTGTGTTTCACTGTAACTTTACATAGTTAATGATATATTGTTTTCCTGGTTCATGTTTTACAGTTCCATACATATTTAGTTTTGGAATTACTTGGTGGTGGAGAGCTCTTAGAAAGAATACGAAAAAAGAAAAATTTCAATGAGGTGGAAGCCAGCCACATTATTAGGAAACTAGCTTCTGCTGTGGAATTCATGCACGGCCGAGGAGTTGTACATAGAGATCTTAAACCTGAGGTACAGAACTGTAAAAATAAGTTGTTATTTTCAAAATATCATTGAAAAGTGCTCTTTTGGCCATTTTATTTCATTGCTAACTATTTTTGATGCTGATAAAACAAAGGAAATAACAAAATGAGAATAATAACATAGTGAATGACTGGAAATTGCATTTTTGGCTCAATCGTGTGTCATAATTTCATCTTGGAAAAGAATTGCATTGTGAGCAAAGAGACATTACACGACTTTCCAAGGGATATTTACATTATTGCTGAAATTGAAAAACTCTTTG